ACATGAGGCTGCGCCTGGGTGTCGCCGTATTCCCCGCTACCTTTCCAGTCATGCCAGTTCCTTCCACCTCCCCTGTAGATCAACGGGACGGTCACGGAGAACCTGTCCCTGGCCGATGCCGGGAAGCTGATTGAGAAATCCCGGGGAAAGCTGCAGCTGGTGGTCCAGCGGGACCGGAGGCAGATCCTGATCCGCATCCCCGCTCTGGCAGACAGCGACTCGGAGCCCGATGGTGAGTAGGGAAGCAGAGCGAGAGCATCTCTCCGCTAACTGTGCTCCTCGAGGAGCTAGATCCTGGAAGAGAGGGTCGCGCTACGGAACAGCGGATAGCGTGCTTGTCCGCGGAATGCAGGTGCAGAGCTGTGGCCCGTCGTGGCCGTGCCCGTCCGAGTTATAGTGTACGACATTATTCCTGATCAAAGGGGGTCAGAGTGCAGTAATCAAGGTCTAGGTGTCAACTCTTAAACATGGTCCATTACCTCAGACAGAGGTATCCTACCAATGGATTAATGATCCGTTTTAAAGGCATCACCATTTATTTTATGATTTGTTTTACTCAGGTTAGCAGTTTAACGGTCATAGTTCATCACATTATTTTAACATTAAAAATATGTTTGGCATTGCTTTTGAAAATCCTTCGCGTTCCGCGATGTATAGTCAGTGTAATATGGTAGAATTTTTGCAGCTGGTGATACATTGCAAGTGCCCCACTGAATCTAAGAATAACCTTTGGGCATTCTAAGGATTTAAGTGGTTTAAAAATACAGACGGGGTTAAATGGCAAGCTGTCTCGCATTTCTGGTAGCTTCTGTGTCATCCTGCAGGTTGACATAATCCGGTGATTCTTTTTTGTCGTTTTGTCTTCTGTACTTGATCTTCCATGCTTTTTTTTTCCTTTCATTGCATTTCATTCCAGGAAGTTCCCTTGACCGAGGATTTTGATTTTACAAAAAAATCTATTTTGTGTCTTTCTTTTTACAGATAAAGTATCATACTTTTAACAGATGGACACCGAGACACGCCTTTTTGTTGCCATTTATCTGTAAAATGACTGTGCCTTGACAGAATTGTAAAGCTTTTGCATTTCTCTTTTGCTAACTTTTTTTCGTATTTCCAATATCAATAAAAGTATTTTATGCTCTATTTTGTATGGTGTGATTTATTTTAGTTAATGCCATATTTGGCTGTGTCATTCTGGACGTGAGCTTTTTCTTAACTTGCAGACTTGGAGCTCACATTCTTAGTTCTGCAGTGAGGTTTTATTATTATTATTATTATTATTATTATTATTATTATTATTATTATTAATAATAATAATAATAATAATAATAATTTGTATGCAGGATATAATTATTAATAAAGTATCTGTTTGTGGAGAACCTTAAGCTGTATTCTCCATTACTTTTGATCCCGCATAAACTGTAATGATTCTCACTCTCTTGCCACAGTGTTTGTTATAGCTACAAATGTGCCTGTTTAGTTTTGCCAGTTTGTTTCTTAAAGGTCTCTTTGTAAATAGGGTAAACTTCCTCGAATTATCCTACAATATAATACGCCATTTTGAATGGTTTTTTTCTGAACATTAATCATAATAGTAACTAGAAGCTATTATCTTTTCCTGTGATGGTTACTATAAAACAATGGAATATGTCCCCAAATTATTTTTTTATATATATATATATATATATACTTGTGTGTGATTGGCTGTCTGGGGGGGTCAAGGACACAGAGAGGGAATTGATCCTAGTGTCCCGGCTGCCCCCCCAGCCTTATGGTCGGTCTCGCTGACCTGTTTTCACATGCAGGCTGGGGGGGCACACTTTGTCGTCCACCATAGGAAGCCCCCAGTGCGGTCGCTGGTCTTCAGTCCAACTGTTTATAATGCCAGCTTTTCTGCACTGTAATCGCACTCATTTCTGTTTGATCTAACAGACTTCCGGGTCTGTTCCCCTTGATTTTCTTTGACTCCCACTCCCCCCCCCCCACAGGAAGTAGACTGTAATTGTACCCTTTCCAGCCTAATGTAAACTGTAATTTGTCTCCACGTTCTGTGGGAGCTGCCCCATATCTCACAGCCTGGCTTCGCTGGCCTCCTGCAGTTCTTAAATATGAGATTTTAGTTTCTTTCTGAATCTTCGGATGAATGCACAACCTCAACCAAATATGGAAAAAAAGTTCTTTGCATATGTGTCCCACATCTGTGCCATTTTTAAACCCCTAAATGAAAATCTAGCCACATCTTTTCTTGGAAACCAGACGTCGTCATCTTAGAAAAAGCATCCTGTGCTTCAGTCTCTCTCCAGGCTGAGAGAGGGAGCAAATGTGGGTCCCACATACTGCTCTCATTAAAATGCTGGTAACGACAGCCTGCTTTTCGGTCCGACCCTCATCTTTAAACTCTTAACGGCCCTAATAATGTCGTTCTGCTGTCTAATTGTGTATTAATTCATTGTGTAAATTAACTGTGATTTTCTGAATTGTCCTGGGGAAACGTGGGTCAAAACAAAAAGTTTGTGGACTTAAAATATGACATTTATCCTGAGGGGAACAGCAGAAGCGTGTAATTTGTTTATTTTGTGACATTGTTTACCAGGACAATTCAAGCTGCTCTTTGCCGCGGTCTCACACCTGGGTCCTGTAAAGACTGGTTAAGGTTCTTTGGTTTTCTGAGGTTGTTCTTACGATGCATACGCTGTACTCTGCCTCTTTATAATGATATGCTGTTCACTGCCTTCTTTTCTGATAGACATTCATATCATTCATGTTGGAGAATGTAGATTTTGCACAGTCATATGCTTTAACTGAATTGCCTATACAAAAGTCATAAAGCCAGAAATGCTGTATTATGGAATAATATAAATGTTTAATGTGCACATGCCACTGCAAGGGAGCACAAGATATCAAATTTAAATGTAACTTTCTTGAACTTAAGTAGCAATTTATCAGAAATTTATATAAATTAGGGGATCGGTTTTTGTGCACTTTGCCAATCACCAAAGGAGGCAGTGATGTGTATATATTTTTTTATTTTTCAGATGTTATAACGAGGCAGAAATGTATCTAACTGCTTTACTGTGGTATGCGAGGACTTCTACTGGTGCTTCTTGGGACTTGTGGAGGGTTTTCTGCTGGGTGCAAAATGGGAACAGAAAAGCTGTGGTTTAATGGATCCGTCTCTCCCCTTTTTGCAGACATCTCTGAGATCGAGTCGTATCGCTCCTACTCCCCGCAGGAAGACAGACGCTCCCGTCATTCGGACCTCTCCTCGCATTCGTCAAACGAGAGGATACGCGAGAAGCCCGGGTAACAGGCCAGAATATTCCTATAGTCCGCCGTTTCCCATAACCACCCTCCATTTTGCGTTACTGGGTTTTTGGTCACCTGCATGGCATAGTCACATACTGGGAAAGGCTGTGACATTTTGGTCTGTATTCTCCCTGCTGCTATTGAGAAAAGCACTTAAAATACCACCAGAGCTGCATGCTGTTTTGGCAAAGTATCTATTAAGACAATACATAAAGGTTAAAGCACAGCAGGATGTGCATTAAGCCGCTTATACCATTGTAACTACAAATCTGATGTACATGTTTGCACATAGACATTATTTTCACATGTCAAAAACACATCTTTTCCAATAATTAACCATTTCTGTTTATGTTGGTTATTTTTAAATTGTCTTCTTCATCTGGAATTTTAAGTAATGTTAGTTTGAATTAAAGTTTGTAATCGTGTACAGATTTACTACTGTGATTCACCTGGCTGGCACTACGTGTGTGGTTATAGACAATCAATCAATCACCCTTCTGACCAATCAGATTTGGGAATTCAGCACTAGCACTGCGGTTATAAAATCATAGGATACACAATCTAACTGTGCCTCTCCAAGTAGGCTGTAAGTGGCCCTTCATGGGTGTGATAGCAGTAAATGAATGTTCATGCTTGGCTTTTCCACCCGTAGTGCTAAAACATCCTGCTGGGGGAATCGTTGAACCCCATGTTTTTGATAGAGTGGAGTATAGAGTAGGGAAAACCTCGCTCAACCCCTGTGAAGCCCATGATCAGACCAGGCGATGTGTGGATTGTATTAATAATGTTCAGAAATTAAAAAATAAGGGTGCCACTTTACAATAAGGCTACCCTTATAAAGGGATTATAAATGGTTTATAAGCAGGTTATTAATTAGGTTGTAACACTTTATAAATCATTACTAGACAATTATAAACAAGTTATACCACATTTTTTTTATATGAGTTACTACCGTGTATAAGTGGCAAAGGGTAGCCTTATTGTAAATTGGTACCAAAATAAGTCTGTGTAGTACAGCAGATTTTGATTTTAAATATATAATATGCATCCAGTAGTGTTACAAATTCAGATAGTATACTGTGATATGCTGTTTTGGCCATATTGCCCCCACCTTCTTGGGAACTGGCTGTTTTTTCCATTCCCCCTTCCGCTTTTGTGCGCAGGGATGACCCCCCGAGCAAACAGGGCAGGGCGGGTAGCATGCCATCCTCTTTCCGAGGGTCCGAGGACAACCATCCCCAGCAGGAGCACGCAGAGGAGCCGCGAACGGAGGAGCCCCCTGGTATCCAGCCCCAAAGAACCATGCATGTGTTTATAAAGGCTTTAGAAATGGAGCTTACCAAGTTTTGGAAACTAGCTAGAAAACTTGTTAGACTAAGACATTAGCATTGCTATTCTTAATTATATAATATTATTTTTTATCAGTTGTGTTCTTAATAATCTTAATGGTGTATTTTAGCTGTCGTTATTGCAACTCCAAAAATCCTTCTGAGGCCCAGCCCAGAGGACGAAGCCACTTATGGGTGAGTATCTATATTTAGGAGATACTCTGTGCTTAATGCTATAATATTCTAACCTACAAATAAAATTACTGAAAGTTGCAAAGAACGTTTATGAACCGAGCTGTACAAAACACTGGATGGCACTGTAGCATATGAGCAACCACAGAAAATGAGGTCAGAGAGATGAAGCTGATGGTAGCCCGGGTGTTCAGGGCTACTGCCAGGAAACCTTGTTGTGCAAAACAATATTGAAAACACAAACTGTCGTGTTATCAAATTAGTGTTTATTGTACAGGATGTTAAAAGCTTAATCCAGTAATGCGCTTATTTTAATTAAGCTAATGTCATTTCCTTTCTTGGTTGAATACGATTAGTTTCATCGTTATTGTAATATACTTTTAATAATATACTTAAATTTTATTAATAGCTGGATTATCTTAATATTCAAAGATATCCCTAATAGCTTTCAGGCTCTGATATGACGTATTTGACTATTATGTTTCACAAGTCAGTGCGATTGCAGTTGATTTAGCTTTGGTGGTGTTTTTAGTTAAGCGCCACCATGTGGTGAAGCGACGTGGTACATGGCCAGCTGTCAGAGAGCAGCCTCAACTTGTGCTTGTTTCATTTCTTAGGAGCAACACTGCGATGGTGAGCTTCCAGAAAGGCGAAAGTGTCGGTCTGCGCCTGGCTGGGGGCAACGATGTGGGTATCTTCATCGCAGGAGTCCAGGAGGGCAGCCCAGCCGAGGAAGAGGGGCTCCAGACCGGGAACCAAATCCTGAAGGTGTGTCTTTCAGCTGTATTTCCACCATTCTTTTTTTCCTGAGGACAGCCGCATATCCCCATGTGCTGAATGCAGTTTATCATAGTCTGCAAGGTTCTCAAGATCCCAAATTTCCAAGTTTTTCTGGGGAATTTTTGGAAATTGATGCCATAAAATGTGAAAGAATCTCATTCACATATCCAGCCTTGTTACTTCTGTTGGCATCTGGCATTGTCCTGTAATACATCATTTCTTTTATACTTACTAGGCAGACATATATACCCCATTATACTTAAATGTTTGGCAAATAATTGTAAATAATCTTTTGGGCCATTTGAGGGGACAGGTGGCCTCATAACCTTCAATCAGATGGTCATGGTTTAAATCATGTGTTATCTTCTGCTCCCTAATTCTGATTATCGCTGTAGTTACATTTTTTGCAGCTGTCATTTTACAGACTTGAGAAAATTAGTCTCCTAAGACATCTGAGAAAGTTTAGTATAGGCCATTAAAAACAACAACCAGTTTCTGAAAACCTTGAGCTCCAGTTTGCTGCTGTTTGGTGTTAGCAGTGGGATTTAATGACACACCATCTGCACTGCAACTGGACTATTCAGATGCCTGGTGTCATGCGGAGCTGCACTCTGGCTGATCGCGTCCCTCTGCATCCCTGCAGGTGAACAATGTCGACTTCAGGGGCCTCGTCCGAGAGGAAGCGGTGTTGTTCTTGTTGGAGATACCCAAAGGGGACACCGTGACCATACTGGCACAGAGCAAGTCCGATGGTGTGTGCCAACCCCCCACTCCCATCAAACACCCACTGTCTACACTTTCAGCATGTCCCTTAAACAACAACAGTAACCATTTTGTTTCCTAACCACAATTTGCACAATTACTCTTGGCTTTGGGGTCTCAGTGGTCTCATTAGAGGTTACATCAGTGGCATGACACTAATAGTTGAGAATTAGAAGTTCTAGAACTAGGGATGTCACAATGGCCTCTTTCACATGAATGCACATCACTCTGTAAGCGTTTTAGCAGTAGCCCTCTCCCCGCAAGAAGCAGCAATCATCAGTCATAAGGGCTCATTCTTTTTATCAGTCTATATCAACAATAGCTAAATGTGTTAGTTAAAAAAGATAGTAAAACTAATGCAATTATAAAATGATACATAATTAAAACTATCAGCCCTTTATTGTCTACATCAGTGAGCTGCAGACCTGACTTTTGTTGTTCAGCCTGACAGCGACATGTTCATGGCCATCTTTGTTTCATAGTTTAACTGGTAGCATCGACACTAGAAAAAGAACTGGCAGGAACCAGTTTTAGCTGGTGACATCATGGCCTGTGCTCTTCGTGGTGCCAGGACAACTCTTTCCCACCCTTGGCAGGATTGGCATGAGGGAAAAGGGCATTTTTAGAATATGCAAAGCAAGCTCTGGAACGTGACAGCGGAGAAACATGATGCGATCTGGAAGCTGGCTTTCCAGCCTCATCCAGCCCACAGTGATACAAGATTCTCTGTGTGTTTTTCTCCAAGGCTGTAATACTATAATACTGCCATCCTGCCTCAAGCAGCAATGTAGCATGGCTGAGGACAGTCATATCACCGCTGTGCCAGGTCCCTTTGATTATGCGGGCAGTTTCTCTGTTGCACTGCCAGCGAGGTGCCCTACTTTGCGGGACAGATTTGACATTAACACGATGCTGAGGCGGTATGCATGCATGTGTGTGTGTGTGTGTGTCTGCGCGTTTGTGTGTGTGTTGCTGGGCCTGCGTGAGCCTGGGCTCATCTGTGGAGCAGTAATCCATTAGCAAGTCAAATTCTGTAAAGCAAGCAGGTGGGTGAGAGAGGGCTGAGCATTTGGAGCTGCTTTTGAACTTGGAATCCCACCAACTCTGGTATCTGGGTCCCGCCAGGGTGCAACCGGAAGGAACGTGGGCTGGGTAGCAATGACCTCGGCTGTAGCTGCTGCTATTTGTCCCCCTGCTTGGGACAGCGCCCCCCCCAGGGGACTGCCGGCTAACTGCCCCTCCCCACCAGAGGGAGAGTGAGAGAGGGGGGAGATATCAGACTGGCTCAGAGCTT